AACTCGTTGTACTGTAGCTCTTTGGTTTTTATACGATATTCATGTTGGCGCAGTCCACGAGACTTCCTCTCTCGTTTCGGGTGAAAACCTGCTGAGCTTTCGTCCATCATTTGATGGACATCATCAGAGCTGGGTATCATTCTTGTAAGAAAATCACGTTAACACTAAAGCAAGAAAACTATCCGGCTGTGTCTTACTTCTTATATAGACTCAATCGAGTCAAAAGATTAAAAATTAAAAACCTAGATAGATCGATTTAGAGTGGTTTGGTAAATTTTCTTTCATACTGGTTCTGTTATTTTTGCTCGATTGTATGAGTATGTATATTTGTGTGTGTTAGCGTCAGACTTGTCAGACTTGTCAAAGGTTAAATAACCCAAGAGAAAATCTTTGACTGAGACTGCCTAGGTCCGTAGATAAGTATGGTTGAGATACTGAAATATGAGTTTGTATGCATGATAATCAAGTTACGAAACCATTTGTCCTAACCTTTCCGTCAAGGGTCATTAACGTTTTTAACCCTCCAAGGAAAGGCAAGACTGAGGTTGCGTACTCTGACATGTATGGTTTGTTTGAAGAGCTTGATCTAACATTTTGTGCGAATGTGAGTGAAATTAGATCCATCACCCTTGACGGAAAGGTTAGGACAAATGGCTTCGTAACTTGATTATCATGCTTCAAAAACTCATATTTCATTGTCTCAACCATTCTTGTTTACGTACTTACGCAGTCTCGGTCAAGGGGTTCTCTTGCGTCATTAGGCCTTGAGGATCAGAACCTGAGATTTAACCTTTGACCACTCTGATTTAGGAAGCGTATTGCATATAGACGCTAACACGCACACACTCAAGCAAAAGTAACAGGACCAGTATGAAAGAGAATTAACCAAGCCACTCTATATCGATCTGTGTAGGTTTTTAATTTTCTTTTGGATCAATTCAGTCTATAAAAGAAGTAAGACAGAGTCGGATAGTTTTCTTGCTTTAGTGTTAACGTGATTTTCTTACAAGAATGACACACAGCTCTGATGATGTTCATCAAATGATGGACGAAAGCTCAGCACGTTTTCACCCGAAACGAGGGAGGAAAACTCGTGGACTGCGTCAACATGAATATAATATAAAAGCTGAACGGCTGCAGTACAACGATTTTCATCCGTGCTTATCTGGTGAGATCGACAAACGAATCTCTTCTTCATTCTATTTCATACGAACTGAAACTCCCCCTAACAATGTTATCTCAAGAGATTCATCTAAACCCAATTTCTCTTCATATCTGCAAGTATTTTTTTGCCGGAATCTTGCCGGGCCATGCAATTCGTCCAATACTCTCCCTCTTGCCTGTCCCTCGTCCGCCGGCCGCGTAGGTTTCCAAAACTGGGCCCGACTCATCGCTTCCCCTGAAGTCTCATCAGCCGAACCCAACTGTTATTCAGCCTGGACGTCAGACAAATGCGTCTCATCCAACGCCTGCCAAAACTCTTCTGCTTGGCTCGTCTCTACTTTTGCTTCCGCGATCGTGCAACTCAATTGGACGCCCGCTTAGCCAAAGTCTAAGTAATTGTTGCGATTACTTCCATTTCGAGTAGAAGTGTTGGGTGAAGAGATTCGAATGTCGGTTCCACCAGAAGACGACGGCAAATTCCTCTTGACCAGCTGTCGGTTGGCTTTACTGGGTGATTCATGCTGACGCTTTTTCCGAGGCAATCTCCTTCGATTCCGGTGAACACGTGCTGAGCTTGCGTCCGTCAAATGACGGACAACATCAGAGCGAGGTAACATCGTCACAACAAAATTCAAGCTTTCGAGTCAAGAAAACTCACCGGCAAATCCCTAAAAAGTGGTATATAT